TCCCCTCCCTCCCCCCCAACGTCGTGAGAAGACTGCATCCCCTCCCTCCCCCCCGATGTCGTCGGAGACTCAGTCGAACTTGGTACTAAGCGGCGTCCGCGGCAGCGAGGGCCCCGGCCACCGGCCGCACAGCAACGATGGGGAAGTCAACATCCCCATCAGAACGGCCACCAACGAGAGGGGGACCGCCGTCGGACAACTGATGGACGTACGCCAGACAAAGACACACAAACGGACGTGACACTCACACGAGGGTAATTGTCGGTTGATGGGGGTCCTTTGTTTCACCGCGTGTGTGTTCCCAGAAGGTAGGCCTCAGCAAGCGCAGCTCCCAGGAGATCCAAGAACGTCGCAAGGCCAACCTGCAACGAGCTGAAACACTCGTGGTATGCCTCCCTCCCCACCTCCAGAGCTCTTCGTCAGCCCCACCCACTCATTTGCGCCCACCCCTTTTTCTTCCTGCCTTCCTTCCTTCCTGTCGTCTGTCTGTCTGTCTGTCTGAAGAAGCTGCGCATTGAGGGCATCAAGGACAAGAATGAGGGCAAGCTCGACGCAGCGGAGGAGCGTCGCAAAACGAGATTGCCAAGAAGGCTGAGCACGAGAAGAAGAAGGATGACAAGCGGCAGCAGGTCATCGAGCGGGCCAAGGAGCTCGAGAGACAGAAGCAGGAGGAGATAGAGAACAAGCAGGCCGGCAAGCTCGATGAAGCAGAGCAGCGGAGGAAGAAGCAGCTCGAGGACAGGGTCAAGCGCATGGCAGAGCTCGCTGCCACCGAGGAACACGTCCAACGCGCGGCTGAGATTCAGCAAAAGAAGGTCGAACAGATCGTTTCCAAGACGGCAGGTAAGTGGGTGGGCGAGTGAGTCAGAAAGTGACACGATCGTTACATCTGTGTGTCTGTCGGTGTGTGCTTCGCGCAGGGAAGCTGGATGCCGCCGAACAGCGCCGCCTGGACCTTCAGGCTCAAGTGGCCAAGCACCTGGCCGAGCTAGCCGACGCCGAGGCGCAGGTCAAGAAGGCAGAGGCAATGGAGCGGGCACGCAAGGAGGACATCATGGTGGGCACCCAGCGCAGAAAGCTGACCAACTGTGTGCACCCGTATCTCGTGTCTCGCTCTGTCTGTGAATCAATGTGCAGAAGAGACGGCTGGAGCACCTAGAGAAGGAGAAGGAGCGCATGCGAGAGCTTGGACTGACGGAGGAGATCGAGAAAATTGCCAAGGAGATCGAAGAGATGAAGGTAAAGGCCATGATCGTAAGCAAAACGCACTCTCGATCGTTGATGCCGTATCTGGCTCATGCTTTCTGCCCTCTGCCTTCCTACCTGTTCGTCTGTGTGTGTCTGTGTGCGTGTGCAGGACAAGACCGACGGCAACCTGGATGCAGCCGAGTGGTGGGAGCGACTCTACGGGAAGAAGACAAAGTGCACCAAGGTAAATGTCAGCGGCCATCAGACCACCAGTAGCGTCTATCAATTTAAGATTCCGGCTTTGTATTGATCTTGTCAGGAACGTATAAAGGCCATCAAGGTATGCCTCATTCGGATCGAATCACGATAGACACATTACTCCTTGAGCTGACCTTGTGTGTTCAGAAAGAGTTCAAGGGCACCAAGAAAGAGCCCATGCTGCGAAGGCATTCTGCCCCACTGGTATGCACACTGCTTTTCCTCATCGTCCTGCCGCCCTCTCGTCTTCTTGCCACTTCTAGGCCATCATATTCGAGAGTCTAATCGAGCATGCGGTGCCGAGACGCCGCCACTCGGCCCCATCAGTAAGCACTGGCACACGTTATGGTCGAGTGTGGTACATCATGTGATTTACTCCCCTTCCAGGCTGCTGACCATGACCACCACCACCACCACCAGCAGCAGGAGCAGCAGGATCAGCAGCAGCAGCAGCACCAGCAGAGGCAGCACAAGCAGCAGAAGGTATGAATCCATACACATCGCGGAGAAGCGCACTCTCCTTCTCCGTTGTCCTTGGCAGCCGGGTGCCCCGTGGTTCGATGGCTTCCTCTTGTTCGCGTGGCTGATGTCCCCCCCAGGGGCCGATCTCTTTTGGATCGGCCTCTGGGAGGGACGCAACAGTGCATGCTGAATTTCGTCTCTCACTCAAGCCATGCGGTGCGGGTTCACTTACTGACTGGATCGATGGCTGGCTGCCTGCCTACAGCTTGCGTGTGGCTGCATGTGGCTGACTAGCTTACCTACCTAGCTTACCTCACTCACCCCACTCGGTCAATTTGCCTTGAAGTTCTGTTTTTTCTGCCTGCCTTAGCTGGCTACTTGTACTTCCGTACACACATGACATGGTGTGGTGATCCATCTGTCGGTCCCATGCCATTGCGGATCGATTCGACTTCATTTCTCCCTTCTCCTTTTTCTCTCCGTCGGTGTGGTGTTTGTTTGTCTGTAAGGGAAGGAACGAATGGCCGAGACGGTCGGGCAGCTGGGTTGTCTGGCTGCCTGGCCACCTGTCTGTCTTTGTGTCTGGCTGGCTGGATTGACGGCGGGAGGGTTGCTTCGTCGACGTGGTGTCCGAACAACAATCCAATCGCCACGCGTGTCTGTGTTTGACGTCCGTCTGTAAGTCTACTGACTTAGGAGGAATGGCGTGTGTGCGCTGCGGGGGACGGCGGGTGCATGGCTGGTGTCCTACGGCCACCCCCAGCCACCTTACAGGCCGATGGAATGGCATCTGTGAGTGCTGGTTGCGGGAGGACGTGACACACCGACATGGCCTGTTCTCGAGACACAAAGCCGCGGCATTGTCCCAAAAAGGTGGGGTGGGGGGGGCGGGATTGTGTCTAATTTTCTGCCTGGATGGGATAGGTGGATGGCTTCGCTGTTGTAAGGAGACGCCATTGGCGGGCATGTCTGTCTCGCCTATTTTTCGCCCTACAAGCAAGTCCCGTTATTGCGTGTCTGCGATGGGGTGGGAAGGGGTGCGAGGGTGGCATAGCAGTTGTGTATGTACGGCCTTTGAAGAGATGAGTGAGTGAGTATCTTTCCGGCTGGCTGGTTGGCTGGCCAGGTGGGTGCGTGTGGGTCCGCCACATCGCAGCTCGTGTCTGCACGTTGACGGTTCGATGGATGGATGGATGGATGGACCCTGCACGGCTGCCTGGCTGCTTACAGACAGACAGACAGACAGACAGGGTGGGTGGGTGGGTGGGTGAGTGCATGTGGTGACTGGTGTGGAGTGTGCGTGTGGATACGTTCTTTGGCTTCCCGTGTTTTCGTGTTTTCGTGTGTGTGTGTGTGTGTGTGTTTTTTTCAATGCATTCGTGTGAGGAACCGAGGGAGGGAGGGTTGTGTGTGTGGGTGTCCTAGTGCAGACATTCAGCCGGCAGAGGACAAGCGATCGACCGAGGCGGAGACAGACAGACAGACAGGTGACTCGCACTCTGGCTTCAGCTTAGCGGCCCTAGCTGCGGCCATTTCTCCCTCCCTCCCTCGCTGCCTTTGCTCTCCTCCTTACTTGCAAGAGAATGTTTGACACACGCTGGTCACGTCGCTGGAAAGACGGACGCTTGGATGCTTGGATGGATGCTCGTAGTCTCCCCCCTCCCTCCCTCTGTCTCCCTCTCTCTCCCCCTCTCTCTCTAATGCTGCTGACCGACTTGCTGCGGTTGTTATCACTCACCCGCTCGGCTCGCTCCCTTTAGTAGCTCCCCTTAAGGCCCGCCCACTGCATATGACACCAACCGTCTGTCTGTCTGCCTGTCTGTCTGCCTGTCTGTCTGCCTCTGCCCATGTTTTTTTAGGCGGCTGGCTGGCTGAACGAACGGCCCCTTCTTCTCTCCTTCATGCATTCATATGGCTGCAGGCAGGCGGGCAAGCAGACACACGGGGGGGTGCAAGGGAGAAACCAAAGAAAGAAAGAAATAGGGAAGGAGTGGCCGACACTCCAGACACTCCAGACCTTCCAGACACTCACTCAGTATGCGTGCACGAGGTTCCCAGTCATTTGCTGCTTACTTGCTTGCCTGCTTGTGCCTGAGTGCCATCTGCCTGCCTGTCTGCCTCTTCCCCTCCCTCCCTCCCTCTCCTGTCTGTCTGCCTGCCTGCCAGTTGACCAGCCTCCCTTGACTCGTTGATGTGTTCATACGGTCGGTGCCTGGATGCGTGTGCGTATGAAATCAATTAATGCCTCATGACATGTCATGGTCTCTAACCCACCTCACATCCACACGACAAGCACAGAAAACACGAGGGAGGGCCCCTGTCGATTAGCTCGGAAAAAACGAAGAGGCAGGCGACATATAAAGGCACCACACCCACACCCACCAGTCAACCAATTACATCTGCACAGGCAGGCACGCAGCCCGATTGTTGGATGGTGTCTCTCTATCTATCTATCCGGCCAATACCATGGCTTTGTAACACGAACTAGCGGCTGCGTGTGTGTTATATGAGCAAACACCAAAGCAGTCTTTGAAGGAGTGATGTGAAGGTCGCGACTGCTTTCAAACATCCCTCTTTCACTTACGCCGAATTCATGCTCAGCTGTCCCGATGTGATGGTGCAGGGCTGCTGCTAGCTGCGGACAGGAAGAATGGAACGCACAATGGACTGGGTTGGGTGAGGGCGAGCGCTCTTTCCTGAATTCTGCTGGCGAAAGATGCATCCAGTTCTCTTGCGTCTCTTCTCTTAGCATCGTGATACATGAGCAACCGAGGGAGGACTCTGACACTCAAGTTCAATAGTGGGGACAACTAGCTGGGACAAAACAGCTAGCGACATCATGATGTGTGTGCAGTAATTCGCCTGGTGTCCACTCGCCATGAACAGATGTTTGCGCATTAATTCGAGTTCAAAGGAGCGCTCAATCTCAACCAAAACATGTCGGTCTGCGTCTCTGTCTGTCTGTCTGTCTGTGTGTCTGCGCTGCTTGACCATCACTCTCAGCCCTGCACACACACACACACACACACACACACAAGCGGCAGGGAAAGAGGATGCATGTGCGTCTCTTCCCCCTCCCCCGCTCTCTCTTTCTTGCTCTGCCTCACTCACCTCGGCCTCTCCTCGTGGTGCTGGTTCTGCTGGCTGGACGGTTGGGGCCTTGAAGAGGACCGTCAGCAGAGTGAGTCCCTTCCACAGCCCGGCGAAGGCAGCGAAGAACACGGCCTCGCGCCAAGTTGCGTTGAAGACGGTCGACGGCAGCGCGAAGAAGGCTATCGGCTCCTGCACCAGACTTGCAGCACATCCATCAGGCCACATGATCATTGTCCATCCCCTTCATCCATCGGTGTGTGTGTGTGTACGAGTGCGATGAGGGGGAAGAGGCGCGGCATCAACGCGTGGACGGCGTAGCTGGCAGCTGCACATAAGACACACAATTCACACAGACTCACACATTCACACACACACACACACACACACACACAGAGACGAGTGGCCCATGTCATTGAGTGCACACAAACCAGACACAATGAAGAGCACTGACAAGGCCCCTCTTAGCGATCTGCTGATGTTCTCATGTGAACAAAACCGATGCACCTACACATGGCACACGTGTCTGTCTGTCTGTCTGTCTGCCGACCATTAGCGACGGCAGCAGCAGAAAGTACCCCACACACGCCGTCTTGGGCTGCAAACACGCACACACACACACACACACACATTGGTGTGTCCGTCCATGTGGTGTCTCGGTGCTCACTTGGACGGTGAGCAAGCCGATGACCCCCAGTGGATTGCGCATGAGCCAGCAGACACCCTGGTACACGAGGTTGATGAAGGCCGCCGCGACAAACGACATGACCACTTCAACGTTGATGGCAGACGTGTCGCGCAGCCGGCCCACCAACAACACACCCACACCTGCACAAATGCACACACAGCATACACGTTTCCATGTCTATGGCTGTGTCTCTGTGTGTGTCTGACCGGCGAGGAGGGCGAGGACGATGGTAAGTGCCACGTCGAGCGAGTGAACGGCGTCGAGGAGGTTGATGCCAACGATGAGGACGATGTAGAAGACACTCAGGCTGGCACTCACGCTGAGGAAGACTTGCTCTTTCAGCACCTCCAAGAGTGTCTCACCTAAAATCACACAGAGACACAAGGAGACATATGGCCAATGTGCGTGTGTGTGTTTCCTCATCTTGTGTGGCCGGCCACTGACCAAGAAGGCCTGCGAGTAGGAAGTAGATGATGCTTGAGACGGAGACGACGATCAGCACCACCGTGTACGCGAGGATGGCGTACTGCGGTGGATGCACCACGGCTGACACGACAAAGAAACACAATTGAACAAACACGACCGATCGTTTCCTCCCGTCCCCTGCTCTCCAACGAGTTACCTTCTTGCGGTTCGACGATAGCCTTGGGCAGTCCTGGTCGGGGATATGACGAGAGCTCCGCGGCTTTGCGTTCCTCTGGCAGCTCTTGCATGATGTATTGGACCTTCGGCTGCGGCTGCAACACACGCTCGCCCTTCACAACCACACGGTTGCCCACCAGCTCGCCCTCCACTCCTTTCTTCTCCTGACATACACATAAACACACAGAGACATGGCTCGGCTGTGGCTGGCTGTCTGTCTGTCTGTGTGTCGGTTGTCTTGCCTCTCCAGGAGGTGGCGCGAACTCGGCCACGCCCAACTGCTCGTCGCTCGGCATGACGAACTCCTCAATGCCAGCTGCATTTGAGTGAGACACCGCACAAGAGACACACACGTGGAATGAATGAGATGGATTGTTTGTTTGTCTCTGACTGACATTTGAATGGTTTCGGGAAGTGTCCGTCTTCAAAGCCGCTCATCAGTGTTTCCATCGCTCGTTCGTATGAGATCGGCGGGCTCGGCTTGAGCATGGCCTTGTACTCCTCATCTGAAATGCCCATCTCCGCGCGTGTTATGAGGGTCTTGACGGGCGTGCCGGGCGGGGGCGGGGAGCCGATGTAGGCGGCATACGGCTTGGGGTAGGGGTTGCTCTTGGCGGCCAGCGGCTTGGCGGTGAGCGCCAAGAAAATGAGGAGAAGAGTCATGATCATGAGAGAGACGCTTGACACAGTCAAGCCGTCAATCTGTCAAAGAGAACGTGAGACGCAGTGAATGAATGATCGAGATTGTGTTCCACACGTACATTGATTGTCCGTTGATCCTACATTTGACCTCGCGTGTATGTTTGCTTTGCAACACACGCACCCACACGTTGAGTCATGGCCATGATCATTAAGCAGCCGTATCAATGTCGGTCAACCACACACAGCTGTCGGTCTGTACACCACTGATTCAATCCACAGCTGTCGCCCCCTCTCTCTAGCATATCTTGCCATCCGCCCTCCCTCTCCGCCTATCTGGTCGAGTCGATAGCTCAGCCGGCGGCCGACTCACGAAGGGCTGCTGATCTTGCCCGCTGATGGACACAGCGAGCTGATCGGACACTCGCCGCACTTGGGTGACCGCGTCACGCAGATGTTCTGGCCCAGGCCGATGAGAAGCAGCGGCAGCGGGATGCGCAAGTCCACCGGCACCCACCTGGAGCGCAGCGGCAACAGTACGCACACACAGTGATGGGTGCAAAGACAAGGAGATCGTCAGTGTCCGCCCTCTTTACCCTTCGAGCGCTTTGCGCGTCTGCTCGGCGTGTTTGGTGTTGCACCACTTCAGCCGGTTGGCCACCCGGTGTGCGTGCGTGTCAACGACGATGCCGCTGTCCTGCTGTCCAAACGACACGGACTGCACCAAGTAGGCGATCTGCACAAATAAATCGACACACGACACACAGAGTCTGCACTGGAGGGTGCTCTGCCTTCCTGGTGTGTGTGCTGACGTGACGCACCTTTGGTCCGACCCCCGGTAGCTCTTTGAGCGAGTTGGCATCGCTGGGCACCTGTGACCGATACCTTTCCTTGATCAGACGACCACACTCCTGCAGTGCAAACACACACCCAACTTGACACACACACTCAACTTGAAAATATATCAATGCACATGGGATGATGGAAGGACAGCTGACTGACGTCCTCTGCTTGCCTTTATGTGTTTGGCCTTGGTCTTGTAGAAGTTGCACTGACGCACACAATCCTCTATGTCATCCAGAGGAGCCTCCTGAACACACACACCACACACGGCCACTCTCGGCCCGTGGACCACCTGTTCATCTAAATTAAAGGACTGCCTGTGTAGAAACATACGTACGTATATGAAGTCGACATTGACATCCCCGCCAGGCGATCTGTCTTTGAGCGTCTGCATGGCCCTGAGGGCCACCTCGTCCCTGCACTGCACCGACAGGATGCACGCCACCAGAGCCGTGAAGTGCGGCGTCGACACGCCATCAGACTGAAGGCCGACGAGAAAAGCGTGGAAGTCATCGACCGTCGCTGCATTCTCATATCGATACTCCTGCAACCTTTGCACACACACACACAGACAGGAAGGAGAGATGCTGCCGGTCACGCGCATACACAAATGCATGTGTTATGCTCTCACTTGCTAACGATTTCCTTCCAGTTGTCAGGCGCCGCCGAGTCGTCAAGTGGCTCGAGGCTGTCCACGTCGATAGAGAAGTTCTTCTCCCGCAGCCGATCACGCTCCGACAACACTGAGCTCCCTGCACACGCAACACACACGGCACACCGATGCATGCTGTCGTCCATCGATGCGGAATGCCCTATGCACTGGTGAGATCTACACCTACCCTTGTCGGCAGCCTTCGGCATCTTTGGCGCACTTGCCTCCTCCTCCTCCTCCTCCTCCTCCATCTGGACCGTCAGCTTCTCCGCCTTTGGCTTCGCTGGTGACCCACTGCCGCCGCTCCTGTCTGTTCTCGCCTTCTTCAACGGCCGCCTGCCCAGAGATCTATCTGACGGCTGCGGCGGGTCGCCTCCCTTTTGGTACGCAAACTGCGCGAAGAAATCATCCAGCTTCCTGCTCTCTTCACCATTGTCCCCGTCGTCCATTGTCTGTGTCAAAACGATGGCAATCCGGCTCACCGCCAGCTTTCGGGTTCCACATTCCGTAAAACCGCTCTCTCTCTCGCAAATCCCTGCCACTCACTTTCCCCCCCAGTGGACTGCGTCGTGAGGATCCAGTGTGTTCTGCACTGAACCTGCAGTGGTAAAACGTCTGGCTGTTTCCCTTTCCCTGGCCCCAAGTCGCTGGAGAGGATGGGTGTGGACGATGAGGTTGACTTTGTGGAGGGCGAGATGGAGGTGGACGAGGCCGCGGCCGAGGGGGGGCAGCAGGAGGAGGAAGAGGAGGAGATACCCGAACTCACCGAGGAAGATATCATCGACCGGTCAGTCAGCCAGCCGCGTGCAGGAGACGGGGGAACACACAGACAGACACAGCGGGCGGGTGGAGGGAGAAACGTATGTGTTCATTGGGTCATTTGTCTCCCCTTTTGTCTGTCTGTCTTTGTCTGCTTGTCAGGCTGAATGTGGAGGATTTGCTTGAGGAGGGCATGGAGGGGGTGGGGGAGTTCTTTGTCAACTCGTCCAACTTCGTCCGCATGGGCTTGGTGCCTGCGGATGAGCCCGAGAGCGAGCCGCTGGCCTTCAAGTACTTCACCAAGCAGGAGGCCATGCAGGAGGTCCAAAGAGTGGGATTCAACTCAGACTGGCACGAACACTCGGACGTCCTCAAGGTGGGTCACCGGTATGAGCCACAGGCGGACAGAAAGAGCAGCCCTTTGGTGTCATCAGAAATGGTCGTTGGAGCACCTGCTGCTGATACGTGACCCCAACCGCATCTACGGGCAAAACTACGCCTGGCCACACACACCCAAAGCGTTTCAAATGCTCAAACAAGTATCAACCAGAGAGGGGTTGCCGTCAATCTGCGCCACAAAGCCTGGTCTCTCTCCTTCGGTCAGCGGATAGACGAGTTGAAGCAGAAGGTGGTGGACGACTACTATGCGCAGATGAAGGGCGGCCGGGCTGGGGAGGGGGAGGAAGAGGCAGAGGGCGCCGAAGCCGTCGATGAAGATGCCCACATCGTGGTCAAGGACGAGCCCATCGCTCCCCAGCCATGGCAATCCGACACGGCAGAGGAGACGGCTCGTGAGGTGGCTCTGCTGCATCTGCCGGGGGAGGAGGGTGTGGATGGTGGCAAAGTGAGCCGGCGTCGGTATAAGGTGGTCATCAGCAGGAAGAGACAGCACTTCGGTGCTCAGATGCGGTTCAACGACTCTGCTGAGAACATCCACTCGTGCAGGCCGCAGAAGGACCCCAACTACGCCCTTCATCGGAAGGAGCTCCACCTGGGCATACAGGCGGTGCCCACCTACTGCCAGCAGAACACACAGACACCCTGGTTCAGACCTGTCAACTCCAGCTCACAATACAACTCCGATGACTTCCTAGTACACTGCACATATCATCCATCAGCAATCCAATCCGCTGTCCCGCCCACAAGACCCACAGACACGTATGCCCCCTCTGTTTATTGGTGCGTGCAGAATCAGGATTTATACAGCGAGAAGGAGCTTGAGAGACTCAATGAGTTCCTGTCGAGGGTGGCTTGGGGGTGAGTGAGTGACTAAGGGGCAGACAGGAAGGAAACAAACGGTCGCGTTGGCGCCTCGTTTGGCCTTGTGTCAGTGTGGAGGAGGCTCTGCAGCAGAATGAGACATTCGACATATACCAAGACGAATTTGCTAACCTAGGTCGGCAGACACACCGAGCCCATCCGTCGATATGTACATACGTCTCTCTCACTCTTTCCTGTGGTGTGGTGTGCTCAGGTGATGATGATTTGGGTGTTGGTGCTCGCAGTTCAGCGAGCATTCGCGAGGTGCGCAACTTCCACGATTTGACCTACTCGAAGTCAAAGCTGCTGGCGTCCATCGACTGGCTTCCGGGGTGGGCGGGCACGCGGCTTGTGTGGATTGCCGGGAGAGACATGCATTCTCTCTCTCTCTCTCTGTGTGTGTGTGTGTGTGTGTGTGTGCAGGTCGACGACTATCGTGGCTGTGTCATGCATCGAGAATATGACGTTTGACGAGCAGGCTGAGCTGTCGGGCAAGGTATATAAGGCCAGGAGCATGCCCCTCTGCTCATGTGTGGATGAATGGTGTGTGCCAGGGTAACACGGCTGTGGTGCTAGTATGGTCATTTCACGACTTCATCATCCCCCAAGCCGTCCTCGTCTCACTATCGGTCCGCACACACACATACAGACACGAGTGTGTAGCTCCCTGGATGTGTGGGTGTGTGCAAAATGCAGGATGTGAGTGTGATTCGTTTCAACCCCCAGACGCCAAACCTCCTCATTGGCGGATGCAACTCGGGACAGGTGCACACCTGCACACGCGACATATGGTGCACAAGTCTGTATGGATGGTATCTCCTTGCGTATGTGTGGGTGTCGTGTGTGCAGCTGGTGATGTGGCGCATCGACAGTTCGCTCATCGGCGGTGCGGGTGGCCAAAACGTCTCAAGACAAAACACCATTGAGGACGACAGATGTACGTATGCGTGGATGCGAGCAATGGAGGAGGAAACTCACAGGAAAGGCGGCCTGTCTGTCTGTCTGTCTGTCTGTCCGTTCTCTATTCAGCTGGCGGCATTCCCCATGTGCATCAGCTGATCGCCTCCTCGATTGACGAATCGCACAAGAAAACCGTCACCGGCATACAGTCAGTCAACACACCACACACAGCAAATCCATTCATCCATCCATCCATCCATCTCTCTGCGCCTGGCTGACTGATGGTCCCCTGTTTTGTCTGTGCACACACACAGGTGGGTGCCTGAGGGCATCGAATTTGAGAAAAGGGGCCGAGTAAGCACACATGACACACACGGCCACCACCGGAGGATGGCGTGGTGCATCCCTGATAATGATGTTGTGTCGTGTAGATGTCTTACAAGAAGGAGTCTGTCGGCCTCAAGTACGTGATATCCATCGCAGGCGACGGCCAGCTGCTCATCTGGGACCTCAACCAGGCCCTGCAAAATGTCAGCAGTGCACAGAGATGACCCTCTCCATTGACACCACACGCACGGCTCTGTGTGTGCCATCACATCAGTACAGCGAGCCGGATTTCGTGTGGAGGCCAATTTTTCATGTGCAGCTGCAGAGACAAGACTCGGGTACACTACACGCACGTTGCTGGCTGGATGGATGGATGGATTGTCCATCCAATCCACCTATTGGTTGGTTTAGGTACCGAGATGGGCTGCTGTGACCTGCTGCTGCCCCACTGCGACCCGGCCGACTTCTCGTGCTACTTCATCAGTGCGACGGTACACACACACACACACGCAGAGCTCAGGGTGAGAGACATGGTCTGCAGATGCGTCTCGTCCCTGTGTGAATGCATTAATGCGTGTGTAGGAGGAGGGCGAGCTCATATACGGCGACTGGGGGGCCAAGGGAGAGGAGGACAGAAAACCCGAATACGTCAAAAAACTCCTCAAGGCAACAAAGAGCACACGAGAGATACACACACACACAACTCAAGCGCCAGACGGCCTTACCTTGTTCACCTACTGTCGACCATCCATCCATCCATCAGGCGTCCAAGTCGTTTCGCCCTACGGTTGCGCTGGAGCGGTCCCCCTTCTTCCCCTCTGTGATGCTGACGGTGACCGACTGGGCATTCTACCTCTGGCGGGAGGGGACATCACACCCAATATTCACCTCGCAAAGGCAGGGCCCCACCCACAGCACTGCACATGAGACGAGACACACACTCGGCGACATATGCGTCTCTCTCTCTCTCTGTGTGTGCAGTTCTCCATCTCATTTTGCGACTGGCGTGTGGAGCACCTCCCGGCCCGGCGTGTTGTATTTGGGCCGGATGGACGGCATTTTGGAGATATGGGACTTCTGCGACCAGTCGCACAAGCCCTCACTCACGCACACAGTCACCTCCGTCGCCATCACGTCACTCGCCTTCCAAAAGACCTCCAAGAAGCCAGACGCACTCGCACAGCTGGTGGCTTCAGTCGGCAGAATCATTGCCTGCCTGCCTGGACGGACGGATGTGTGTATGTGTGTGTGTGTGGGTGCATTGCAGGCGGTGGGTGACGAGAACGGCAACCTGCACATCCTTGCCCTGCCCAAGAACCTCACCAAACAGGTCAGTCAGTCAGCCTGCCTGCCTGCCTGCCTTCCAGGGAGACGCACAGACACAAATTATATATGTCATGTTTGCGGGTCGGTGTGCGTGCAGGCTGGCAACGAGATGCGTACGATGTCGGATTTCTTTGCCCGTGAGGACTCGCGCGTCGAGTACTGCCAGGCCAAACTCACCGACCTCAGACAGGTCGAAACACACCACACACACCCACACCCACACGAGACACCCCTCCCTCTGTGTGTGTGTGTGTAGATGGCTGAGGAGTTGGAAAAGAAGAAACAGATGGACGGAGAACTCATGGAAATCACAGAAATCGTAAGCAGCATGCGTGTGTCACGCTGTGCCATGCTGTTCGTGCGCCTGTGTGCATGTCATGTTGTCTGTCATGTGTGTCCTCAGCGGGACGATGAGGACAAGTTGCTGGAGAGGGCGGAGGCGGAGTACAGGGCGCTTGAGAAACAATTCAAGGAGGCACTCGGGCTCTCTGACGAACCGCCCAACGGGGGCACACAGTAGACACACACACGCAGGCAGGCAGACAGGCTCACGGCCATGCCATGGACGGGCTGGTTGTTTGAATCAATCCATCGATGTGATGTCTGTGTGTATGGTTGCATGATCGATTTGACAGACAGACGTGTAGCTGGGCTGGTACATGTCTGTCTGTCTCTGCGTGATTGAGCGCTTGACGTGACGACTAATCAGTTACCTTCCCCGCCCACTCATTGGTGTCCCCAGCTTTTTGTGTGTGTGTCAAACCATGCACATGATGCAAAGATGACCAATCAAAGCGTTCCCAGCCGCCGTCCGCTATGCATTCCAGTCAGTCAGTCGGCCAGTGGGCCAGTCAGTCAGTCCAACCCCTCCACCCCACCCCACACACACAGATGGGCAAATGGCAGCTATACCACTCCACTCCACTCCACACACGCCACAGATGAAGGAAGGAAGCCAGCCGGACACGAAAAAGAGTCAGTAGGGGAAGAAAGAGACTAGAGTGAGTGAGTAGAGTAGAGCAAGTGAAAGACCCCTCCCACTCTCTCATGAGACCAAAAACACCGCTCTCGACAGACAGCCAGCCAGCCAGCCAGCCTCTAGCTAGAGCAAGTAGACACCCCAACGAACGAACACCCACCCACGATCCATCCAGCCATGCAGCAAGTCGTAGCACTTGAAAAATCAATTGCCCGACCGGCCCGGCCCGCACGTTGGTCATCTTGTCCTTCCCTCACTTGGACCTCACTTGGAGAGGCCCAGTCTGAAGAGGCCCGCCCAGTCGGGTCCAAGCGAGGCACACAGACCCACCAACGTGCAGGCGGTAGTGTGAATGAATGGCTATGAATCAGTCAGTGTATATAATGCCCCAAACCGCCGCGGAAGAACAGCCAACAAACACTTGACAGCCACGCGTCGCACCACACGCCACCACACACACATGGCAAGACGAAACAAGACACGGGCAGCAATTCGTAGGTAGGTGTGTGTAGTAGATAGGAAGTGTGACTGACGCGGTGGTTTGGCGTCTGTCTGTGTTTCTCTGTATTGTATGTGGCGGGCCGGGTGTGGTGTTAGATTCACTTCTTGGGCGATGCGGCTTTCCTCCGCTCGATGTACGGCTCCAACTTCGTCTGCAGATCCTCTGCACACACAACACAATCACACACGCGCCGCAGAGACATTCATGACACGTTGAGGGGACCAGTCCATTCCATCCACTGCTGTGTGTGCGCTGAGCGTACGTACCATCTTCGATTTCGATGGCTTCCTGTCTGACTTCCTCCAACTCGGCCAAGCTCATGTCCTCATACGTGAACTTGCCAGTGGCCCTGTCG